GTGATACAAATGTCATGGTTTCTTGTTTTTGTTTGAGAGCAGTTTCCTCTTAGTCAGACTGCTGATGTTCAGGACTATTGTTAGTGAGGAGGGCTCTTGATGTTAAGGACTGTTGTTCTTAAAGGCTGTTGTCATGAAGGACTTTTGATTTTGAGGAGTGTTGATAAGTCCTGTTATTAAAGACTGTTGTTATTGAGGACAGTTTTATTTAAAGACTTGTCATTCAGGGCTATTGTTATCGAGGAGTGTGCTTTTTAAGGGCTGTTGTTATTAAGTACTGTTGTTAATGAAGACTCTTGTTATCAAAGGCTGGTGTTGTTCAGGACTGCTGATATTAAGGACTGTTGTTATTAAAACCTGTTGTCATCAAGGACTGCTGTTATTGAGGGCTCCTGTTATTAAAGATTGTTGTTATTCAGGATCATTGTTATCAAGGACTATTATTATTACTATATTATTATTAAGGGCTGTTGTTATAAAGGACTGTTTTTAAGAGCTGTTGTTATTAAGTACTGTTGTTAATAAAGACTATTGTTATTAAGGACTGTTGATAGATACTTTATTGATCCCGTGAGGGAAATTGCCGTGCAACAGCAGCTTGGCACAGTCAACACAGTCAACAGTGTAACAAAATTATACAATGATACACAATACAATAGAGTAAGTCAGTCAGTGAGGAGTGCAGTAAAAGTTTTTAAAAAAGGATTGATATTAAGGATTGTTGTTTTTATGGACTGTTGTTATTCAGGACTGTTGATATTAGGGACTGCTGATATTAGGGACAGCTTGAATGTCAAATCAGGGAGCTGGAAGTCCTGATAAACATTCGTTTGGTGAACATATCAGCACTTTAAAAGTGCTTTAACCATTTAAAGCTTTTCTATGTCAAAACATTCCCGGTGCCAATTTCCCTTTGAACCCAGACTTGACCTTTTTCAAAGAAATCTGAACTTTGCTACTGTTTTCTTTATCTTTAGATATGGGTCTTCATCCTGAGTCAGAAAAAAAAGGATCATCCTTTATGGTAGTTCTATGGTAGTCAATGTCAATTAAAAACCGAACACAGAAGATGCAAATTTCCTTGACACGTTTTTACAGACTCATGAAGAGCACGTATCTCGCAGTATGACAAGTTTTAGAATTTAATTTCCTTTCTGTCACCATGCCTGTAGTTTTTTTTATTAATACAGGACACATCAATCCACCAAAATATTTTCGTTCTTATTGCATTTCATTACAAAATATATATATATACCGTGTCAGACATCTTTTGAATCTTTTGATAGCCTGATTTTGCGAGTCACACTTGGTTTGATTTCGGCTAGATCAAACGTTTCCTTTCCAAAAGCAAGCAGGATCAGCTCCTGTGAATCAGTTACCTGAGAAGAGTCCCGTCGGTCTCTGGGACTGCCTGGGAGGAGCTCACCTTCAGCTTGTGTGTCTTAGCGGTGTTCAGCGCTCTGTTGACTAAGTGTATTTGAAAGACATCGTTTACTACTTAAAAACCCTCTTGGCGTCTCAGCACTTCTGAATACTTTATTGGAAACCGGGAACAGTTTTGTACGGGAGTGCACGTCAATCACTGTCATCGCTGAAGTAGCATAAAAGCCAAATCGTTTCTGAAGGATCTGATAACCAAATGGTGCCCCCCCTCCATCTCACCTTGTCAGCGCCCTCTTTATCCATGGCTAGTTCATTGGACGTGCAACTATAATTGAGTTGTCTCCCTTGAGTGTAGTGCAGTGGGTGACTGTAAGTGCTGTCTCTTGTCATGGTATACACTCACTCAAATTGCCCTTTTTTGTCGTTTGTGCTTTCCTGTTTATTACGATTTTTTATTTATTCATTTATTTCTGGGCTCGCCTGTTTTCGCCGGGCGCTGCGGGTTTCCCCTCGGGGTGTATCACGTGCTCCCTGCGAGATCCGCGCCGTGTTTTTCTGAGCGCGCTGGAGCTGGTGAGAAATGGACCGGGAATCTGAGCTGACGGACCCCCGTCCCCCCTGACATCCAGCGCAGATGCTGCCACTCCGCTTTGAAACACGTGTGATTTATTGGCGATGACAAAGTGTGCTATTATGAACATCTTCCGAAGGGCAGGACGTGTTTGGCTGCTGTGATTGATTTTTGAAAGACACTTGAGCCCGTGGTTTTTTGTGTGCGTGTCTTTTTTTTTGTTTGGTTTTGTTTCTTTGTCTCCTAATTTTAGTTTGACTTCAGCGTCCTGAAAGGAGGGCATTATAAGGAAACGTGCGGCACTTTTTCACTTAAGTAAGTCTCAGGAGAGCGTACATCAGGCAACTGAACTACTGCCTCTGCCGAGAAGTGAGACCATCAACATCGAAGTCACACAATTATTTTCTGATGTTGAATTTGTTTATTGATTTTTTTATTTTTTTTTTATTTTTTTTTATTTCATATCCGTTTATTTTGTTTGAGTTGTACGAACTGTATTCGTCAGCAAATGTTTCCTGTTGGACAATTTAAAAAAAGTGGTCTAGGTATTTCAACACGCCAAGCATTTTGGCCGTAAAGTACAGCAGTACAGTCATGGTGCCCTAGCGACACGAATTGCTGTAGTGGCAGATGTAAGGTCTGCTCTAACAGAGGACTGTGTAGAAGCAGGTCAGTTTGAATGTGCCGCATAAACTAGCAAAAACGACACCAAACACGATCTTAATTTTTCTTGCATTAAACATTATGACGGGGTGATTGTTTAAACTGGGATAAAATGCCACAGGCGTGTCCTTTTAGAAACGGGGATCATACATACTGTACATGCAACAGAGTTTTCAAAAACTGCTTGCATCTTTCACAAGATATCGCAGGTGGAGGTGTTACATTGGCGCATCCCGCACACAGTAATGAGAAACGGTTCAGATGTGTAGACGCGTCAGCATGCGTAAGCTGCAAAGGATCAAGTAAAGGTTATACCATGCTGAAAGGAGAAAAAAAGAAACACAACGTTTTGGCTTTTTCGGCTTCGGTGAGACACCCGAAGAAGGCTCCACAGCCGAAACGCTGTGTTTCTTTTCGTCTCTTAGCAGGGAATAAACCTTTTTTTGTTCCGTAATGAGAGACGGCCTAGGAAGTTGTGGCACAATGTGTCGCACGAGTGCCCGGGACCACGAGGCAGTAGGAACTACTGTACAGACCAGGTTTAAAGTACAGTAATCAAGGCATGTCTGAACTGATGTGCCCCACCCGGCGGCGAAACTAGTTTGTAAGTTTCCCAATGTCCTTGTCTGCTTGTTGATCTACCGCAAATTTATTTGGCCGACACCTTTATCTACAGAGAACTCCAGCTCCCCCGCGCCCCGCTATTGAATGAAGTGGTTAGAAAACAAGTGAGCGGATATGTACCGTTTCTGCCATGGAATGATTCAGGTGAAATGCTTTGCTTAAAGGTACAATAAGTATCTCCCGTGAGATTTTAACCTACAACCCGTCCAGAACATTAACCTCTGTTCCATGCCAGCAAGCACCCATCTATTACTCCATAAAAAGTGAATTGAATTTTCCTTTGTGATTTTATTTAACTCTGAGCCACCATATTTTTCCAATTACTGGAATGTTAATGTATTACACTTCTATGTTGACTCGCAGTGGTAGTACAAACATATGACCCACTCTGATTAGAGATTATACAACAGCAATCAAGCAGCCAGCGGCTGTATCACCCTGCAACTCCCAAATGACATCCCACTAATGCCCAGCAGGTGTGAGCCTGGTCAGTACTGGGATGGGAGACCTCCTTGGAAAGCTAAGACTGCTGCTGGAAGAGGTGTTAGTGGGGCCAGTAGGGGGCGCTCACCCTGCAGTCTCTGTGGGTCCTAACGCCCCAGTATAGTGATGGGGATGCTATACTGTAAAAAAAAAAAGTCTTTAAGTCTTTCAGATGAGATTTAAAACAACGGTCCTGACTCTCATTAAGAAATCCCAGGGTGTTTCTTGAAAAGTGTAGGGGTGTCCTGGCCAAATTTCCCCCTGGCCTTTACCAATCATGGCCTCTTAATAATCCCCATCTCTGAACTGGCTTCATCACTCTGTTCTCCTCCCCACTGAGAGCTGGTGTGTGGTGAGAGTTCTGGAGCATCATCCAGGTGGGGACTGCACATTATAATAATAATAATTGCTTACACTTATATAGCGCTTTTCTGGACACTCCACTCAAAGTGCTTTACAGGTAATGGGGACTCCCTTCCACCCCCACCAATGTGCAGCCCCACCTGGATGATGCGACAGCAGCCATAGTGTGCCTGAATGCTCACCACACACCAGCTATCAGTGGGGAGGAGAGCAGAGTAATGAAGTCAATTCATAGAGGGGGATTATTAGGAGGCCATGATTGGCATTGGACTCCCCTCCACCACCACATTGGTAAAGCGCTTTGAGTGGAGTGTCCAGAAAAGTTTAAGTTATATAAGTGTAAGGAGTTATAATTATTACTGAGCAGAAACAGGCATCAGGTCTCGCCAGCCTGGGCTTGACCATCACGCAGGGCTTGATGCAAATGCTCCTGTAAACGATGTGGGAGTACTAAGGGAAAACTGAACAATTTTGTGGTGGCAAAACATATTCATTTTATCCAAAAAAAAAAAACAAAACAAATCCTGAACAGTCTTCAGGACTCTGACAGGGTACCCCACACAACACTTTTGGGTCCCTAAAAAAAGTATTTCTTTCTGAAAAAATTTCTCGTTTCCCCACATTTTTTGGATTTAGTGTATATTCTCTCAGTTTAAATGCATGAGAACTGTGCAGTAATCCTAAAATCACCAATAATTATGTTTAATGAAAAGGAGAGTAGTATCAAAAATTACAATACACCTATATGTAATGATGCAACAAGAAATGTGCCCAAAGAGGATTGTTTAACGGGAAAAAACACTTTCGCTGGGTTTTCCCCCCAACAGAACTACAAACCCCGGCATGCACCACGACTACAACCCGTAATCGGCTTGCGCTGCGCTCCTCTGTGCGTGTCTGTGACGTTTCAAGGACGTCTCCGTAGTAACCTGCCCGGCCCTGCTGCCGCTGTGAGAGCCGGAGAGTTTAAGGCAGTTGGGGGTTTTGGTATCGGTGACAGAAATCCGAGTCCATCGGCGGGTTTAAACGGACTGGACACCGGGTTACTGAGGCGGAGAGCCCCCCTTAGAGAGCCGAGATGCTGAATATGTGGAAAGTCAGGGAGTTGGTGGATAAAGCGTGAGTATTCTTGACATTTTCCAGACGAAGTGTTTTCTTGTTGTTGTGAGGCCCCGGTTTGTACCTGTTCGAGAGAGACACGTATGAAGCCGGTGACGTCACGCCGTGTTCTCAGCTGATACTGACCCATCATGGCTTCCTCTGCTCTTTCGACTCAAAGCACGGAAATTCAAGCCATGTCCGATTCCTCTCTGCCTGCTTCTTTTTTTTTCCCTCCCCATTCACGCTATCCCTTCACAGACGTGCCCCTACACTCTCTAAAAGTAAATCAACTCTCCTGCTGATGGCTTCCAGGGTTGCCGAGAGCCCGGATCATTAGCTAGCCTGTTCTTCCGCCTTTTCTGGTTTAAAAAAAGCCACATCAGATTCCGAAAATCTTTCCCTGTCATTCCTCATTCTTTCACAGATTTGCTAAAAACTAGGCCCTGGCTTTCAAAAACTGTCAAACTGCTTTCTGTTCTTCCTTTTCCTGTGTACATGACCCGATAAACACGACGCTACGACCTAATCATCCGGTGTAAAAATGTTAATTTCTCGGTGTCTGATCCTTAAATGTGATGTGTTTTGTCTCTTCCGATGTGGGTTGTAATGTCAGAAACCGAACTGTAAAATTATTTTGCAACGGAGAGTCCACTTCTATTAAGAAGAATAAGGCAGACGATGGTAGAGACCTCAATAGATCTACACCTGACTTTTTTAAGTGTCAGGAAAGATGGGGTTTTACTGCCACTTCCTCCTTCGGGGGTATTATGAGCTAGACAACGTTTACAGGCTCGTGTGAACAATATTGATAAACGTCTTCGTACAGACAGTATAAGAAAATACGTATTCAGAAAGACGAACAAGTCTTTCGTGTTGTCAGAAATACAATAATGGTGACATGGGCACTGGTCTTTTTCTATGGACACTACGATAGCAGCATGCAATACATTGAGACACCATGATGAGAAACAGAGTGAAAACCCAGCTAGATTTAGTTAATACATAATACATAATACATTAGGTGTTTGGGATTTGTTTTTTCATAAAGCGCTGAATAAAATAGGTAAAGAAAAGGTGATTAAACATAAACATGTTGGCTTTTAAAAGCTACTAGTCCGAAAGTTTTTTTTAAAATTTTATCTTACATGCTGAGCATTTTTAAATGACCAGTGAGCCTTTCATTTCGTATGCAGGAACTTTGGGAAACTTGATCATTTGGGGGCGGAAACTGAAGGCACGTCTGTTCTAGAACAAAGATAGAGCAATAGAAGCATTAGGCGCTTTTGTTGTCTGTAACTTTCAGTGATATTTAATCCAAGAGGGCTTCTCCGTTTAAAAGCATTGTTACTTCAGAGCTTTTTACCTGTCACTGCAACGTTTGCCTGTCTCTAGCCAGGATTCCCATTACTTCTGTTAAGGGTGGTAGAGCTGTTGTCCCCAAACTCTGCTGCTGTTCCTAACAGTACTGCCTTTTCACAAGAAAGGAAATTCCACTGTTGGACACAGGTTTCTCATTCTGTAAGATGGCAAGCGCACTCCAGTTTAGTAACACAAAGTGCATGTCTTCTAATGCATAGGGGAAGAGCCAGCCAAGTAAGACAAAGGAAAGACCCTTTTATCTGACTCCGAGAGAGCTACACTGACTCATGCGCATGCAGAAAATGCCTGGATTATTGTGATAATCATCAGTTCTGCATTTTAAAGCTGAATGCAGTAGGTTAACCCGTGGATCCTACTCTGCATATGGATTCAGTCTTAATTCCTTCTTAAAATTAATACACAGTCGGCCGCCACACATAACGAGGACTTTAGGGAGGGGAGAGGTCATTGGAAAAGCTCATCATTGTGAACTTTGTGACTTTCTCTTAAAATGTTTTAAATGAAACCTCTTTCTCATTTTGTTCAATTTCCGGAACATTAAACCATTGCAGCAGATACTCTTGGAAAAACTAATCTGGGTTCTTACTCATTTAAATATTTAGGTCTGGGAGTGCGTCACTGCACTGTTTACCGTCACTGTTATAGTGTATAATGTCATTGTGGGAAAACCGATAAGATTTTTTGTTGCATTGCACTTTCAGTTTTAATAAGCTACCCAGTGATTGGTGTTTATTTCAAGAGTTTTACCTTATTTTGAGTGACTTTGCATGCTATAGGCAGGCTTATGATGTTAAGTACTGAATTACTTTATGCTACTTTACTGTTTCATCGGTACTGGCAATAGAGGCTGAAGTTTGTAAAACCTGTGCATTGCAGCAGGAGTTTCATTCATTTACCTGAAGAGCATTGAAGGTTAAACTTAAGTAAAATGGTCTTATGTTCCCTTAAAACTCCCATTAGCTGTCAGGCCTGTTACAGATACTGTCGCTTCTTATTCTGCAATAAAAGTTGGAATGTCCTTCAAACTAGATTGCTGAATACATTACTTTTTTAAATAGGTCACACAGCTCCTGCTAAACAGGAAGAACACCAAAGTGTCATTTACAGAGATTTGTCTGTTTCAGATTAGATTATTTAAGGTTGATCTTTGTGAGAATAAAAAAACCCAAAAGGAAGTCTCTCTGTGAATCAGAATGTCTTGTGTAAGTATGCTCAGAGCTGCATTTAGCTAAATGGCACGCACAATGGTTGAGCTGAGACAGAGAGGGTTGGGGGTCTCCCTTTTTTTGTAGAACACAGGTAGCGCAAATAGGCAGACTTTGACAGCCTATTTTCTACTATTTGTCCTGTGCATTTTGCATGAAAGCCAGAGATAATTACAAGAACCATTAGAGACTTGTGATTGGTATTGCCGGATGTCCAGACCTCATTCTAAAGAGAGTAGGGACAATGTAACTGCATCTTCAAAACCACTTCCATGCTATGTGTTCTTTCCTGTTCTAAGCGTACCTTTTTGGTAATCCTGATTTTACACCCCAGCAAGCTATAAACGTGATTATGGGAAAACTTCAGGTATCTCCTGTTGAATCTTGTCAATAGTAGAGGGATTGTAACTTTTTTTTTAAGTTTATGACCGCAAAACAAAATAGCAGAAAGAGGGGATTTCTGATAAAAGATTTCTATCGGGGTCATGAAAATAGTTTTTGCGGTTTTAAATATTTTTTGAAGGTTTTGCCACTGCAAGTGCTGTTAGGCCTCTCGGAACTTGATTCATTTTCCAAAGTGTTACTTTGACATCACTGTTCACACGATTAGTGTTTTTTAACTTGATCGAGCTGTCTTTCTCCTTGCTGTCCTATTGCGCACAATAGCCAATACAGGTAAAAGCGAGGGGTGGGGGGTGGTTTACCAGCTGTGGGCTTCCCCTCTTCTCCCTCACTCTCTCTGGAATCTCTCTTCCGCAGGGGCCCTTGTGGACCTGTGACACTGCAAGTCTTCTGTCCCGCTGGGCAGTCAGTGGGAATTCCACTGCCACGGCGGGGCTGTCCTCGGCCCTGTCCTTGTGTCCTCCGCTTCTGTCAGTCTCTTCCTCCTTCGGCTGAACAAACTCCCCGGGGAATTCGGCGAGATTTCGACAGAATCATTTCTGAATCATTCAGTTGCATATGGTTTTAAAGCCCATACAGCGGCGTATTTGTTGAGTGTAGAGTTTTACCTACTCTGTTCTCCAAATCAAGCCATCTGGGGAACTGCAGAATTCCCCAGGTACTGTAAGGAAGGGAATATTACGGAGTGCGTTCTTGTATAAACCACTTTGTGGACACTGTAAGATCCTTAGCTAGCTTGCCTCGGTAGCCATGCTTTCTAGAAGTGTGTTTTCATCTTTTCTCTGGAGCGGTATCACATCAGACCTGCATCAAGGCAGACACAACTCGGGTGGAAAGAAGGCCGTCTTCGTCCCTCAGACCATCTCACGTTTTTCTTTTCTGCTGCAGATCAAAGCAGGCAGGCTGTCACTGAGCCCAGCTGAGGGTTGGGGTGGGGGGGTGCGGGGCACGGTGGAATTGTAGCTTCAGTCATTTTTAATTTTTGCATTTGAAAACCGGCCACTGCCGACACTTGCATTGAGACCAAAGTCAGAGACAGACAGCGACCTTGGAACGGTGGAGAGAGTCTGAGTCATGCCTGAAATGTACAGGGTTTTTCGTCTCCTTATTGTGGTTCTGTATTCTGCTTGTGGAGGAAGGACGGCTCTGTCTGTTTGCCTACTTTCACTGTATTATAAAGCGAACCTCACAGATGAGCACTTCTGTTGAATAGCCTTTTCATACAGTACTGTCTTGATGACTTTGTGGCTTTCTTAGATGTGGTTTAAAGGTGGTGATTAACTGGCCTTTGTCCCCAGATCTGCTGTGCTGTAGCACAATTCTTTGTTTTGCCTTTGATGAGCTTGGGGTGATGTGGGAGGATGGGAGCAGCAGACATGACCCAGTCTTGTTGCTGTAAAATAATAATCATAAAAAAACGTTCTTTTATATAGCGCCTTTAAAGGTGGCTTCTCAAAGCGCTTTACAGAATGACAACAACAATAAATAAAAAGAATTCACAAGATAAGACACAATTACAATACATAGAGGAGACCGTGGATGGTGGTACTAAGAAAGGCAGAGGGGTAAAGATTGGAACCAGTGCAGTAAAGGCTCTTTTGAAGAAGAGGGTTTTGAGTCTGGATTTGAAGGAGTTTAGAAAAGGTGACTCTCTTATATCCTTGGGCAGAGAGTTCCAGAGCTTGGGAGCAGAACAGAAGAAAGGTCCTGTCACCCATTCGATGTAGACGGGCTTGGGGGACAGTTAGGAGACCAGAATTAGAAAAGCGAAGGTTGCGAGGTGGGGAGTAGGGCGACAATAGTTCAGACAGGTACTGAGGAGCCAAGCCATGCAGAGCCTTATAGGTGAGCATGAGGATTTTAAAGTCCACAAGGAATTTGACAGGAAGCCAGTGCAGGGACTCCAGGATAGGAGTAATGTGGTCACGTATCCTGGTCAGGATTCTAAAAAAGGGGGAGATCATTGCTTTTGTGTTCACGCGGTCGTGTTTTCAAAGTCCAGTCTCTATTGCGCAAAGGCTGTAGGTGTTT